TGTCCATTCAACATATGGTATGTCCTTTAATATATTCGGTATTGTTTTTAATAAAAACTCATTATAATTGTTGGAAATCTCACTAGGATCTCCCTCCATCATAGTATTACCCACATCTACGTTGCTTGTTATCTCTCTATATATTGACCACATGCATTTATTTTTATTATCTGCATTGCTGATACGATTAGCATAGTTTTGGGTTCTGATGTTTGCAAGGAGATTATCATATTCTTTTTTGACGTTTGAATACATTTCATTATATGCACTGTTTTGACGTTTTAACATTAAACAAATATCTAGCCTATTTTTTACCCTACTTACGTTTTCGTTATTTACATTTATATCCTATTTGGTTTGTGTGCAGGGTTCACTAACTTTTTAGGAAAACACTGATTGAAGATTGGCATGAAAATATTCATAAATGTTGACCACTGCTTATTTACATCTGATCGATCGATCTGATAAACATTTAACCATTGTTGTTCCTCAAGTATAGCTACAAAGTTATTTCTACTATTTTCATCAAAAAATCTTTTAAAATAGCTTTTTTTTGTTTCAGTAAGATTAGATTTCAGTATAATTTTTTGGGCAGTATGATCGGAAATAACAGTATCTAAAACCAAACTTTCTAAATGTTGTTTGGTAATATTAGTAAAAATATTATCTATACAGTGTTTAGTTGTAGCGGTAATCCTAGTAGGCACATGAATAGTTTGAGACATATTAAACGATTTCATGACAGATAGGAATTCCGATTTATCTTTGCTATGTTCCAACAATTCAATGTTAAAGTCACCCGCTATTATAATATATTTATTTTCATTGATAATTTGATCAAGAACAGACTCTAATCTGTTTATAAAACTATTCATGTCCTTTTTTGGTTGTGTATAAAGTGATATTATTACAAGACACATACCTTCAATTTTGCACTCTACACTAGCACACTCAAAAATATCCTCTACTGACATATCCCTTATTTTTGTCCTCTGCATAAATTGTATGTCTTTGTGTACGTAGATTGCTGCTCCTCCATACCCGCCTTCTCTACTGAAGCTTGATCCAAGTTTAAAGTTTTTCAATCCTAGTGCGCCTATCTGATTTTTCTTTTGCCAGTGTTCTGTAATGCATAATATTTTGCAGTCTTTATGTAGTTCTGTCAAGTGATCAATTATACTGGTGGAGTTTTTTAGAGATTGCACATTTTGGTGTATTATACTAAATTTTGATGCTTCAATATGTGTATTTTCTTTGTTGTCGGTTTTCTTTATAAAAAATGTCTTTCCTGAGCTTCTGCTGTAGTAAAGTTAGTATATTCTCTCTGTCTATCAATTTTTCTCAAATAAGCTGGGCATTTTAGATCTTTGGCAGTAGGTATGTATCCTTTCCTGCAGTCCAATCCGTTTACAATTGGGACAATCCAATTTTTCTGATGTGCATTCACTGGCGTCATGATTTCTTCCACATTTAAAGCAACATAAATCGCCTTTACAGTATTTTGATACATGGCCAAAATAACAACATTTATAGCACATAGCAAGGTTAATATATTCCTGTACATATGCTCTGGTTAAATCAAAAGTAAGATTTTCTTTTCTGATTAGCCATTTAAAGATATCTGGGGGTGTTTGTAGGATCCAGTTTTCCTTAGTACTATTTCTGCACTTCCTTTTGACTACAAACGTTATTTTCTCTTTTACATTTTCCCCAAACGTTGTTTTGATGTCTGGGTTGTCATTAATGAATTCTGTGATAAAGTTTTCATGTTCATAACCAGAATCTATCCCAGTTATAATTATCATTGGGTTATTATTACCAAAATCTTTGATTTCCAGAGTGTCTTGTTGTTTTAATGCTGTATGTATTCTCTGTCTCTGTTCCACATCATTACATTGCACGATTACGGAGCCATTTTTCAGATTCCTGATGCTTTTAAATGTTTCACAGGTGCCGGTGCCCTTTAAGTTCTTTTTGATTTCTTTCAGAACACTTTCAGTTTTTTCAGGATTCTTTGGTTTGATTAACATTTCATTTGTTCTTTGTTTCAGTGGTGTTTCCCATTTTTCTTCTTCGCCTTCACTTCGATTTTCCTTTGTTCTTACGATTGAGCTGTAAGTTTTTGGAAAGTCTTGTACGGGTTTTTGTATGTTTTGACATTCAGAGTTTCCCATTTTCATTCCTTTTTGTTTTTCTGCCATCATGTTTTCCATTTCAAGTTGTCCCATTTTGTATACCAAAGCAGTGACTGTTTTGTGCAGATTAAAACTTGCCTTTCTTAGTTCTGGTCGATCATTTTTTTCAAAATCTTCCTTGTTGATAATTGTGTTAATTTTTCCTAACTCTTCTAGCAATACATTTATAAGCATGCTAGTTTTTTCATTTCCATCAAACTCGATGTTTGTCTCAGATATTTTGTGATGATTATTTTCAATACTATTTTTAAATCCCCCTGGTATGTTCTCGTTTTTGTTGGGCGGGCATGAGTCCGGTTTTTTCACTTGCTTGTTTATATCTCGACCATTGTGCTTCTTATCTGTTTTTGTTCCGGCAAGGCCGATAATCCTACTTATTTCTTCAAGGCTGTATTCACTGAATTCAACAGAATTACTCCTAGTTTCCCTTCCTGGGAACTGTGTGGTTTTTTTCTTAGCGCCTGTTTTATTGCCGTCACTTTCATCATTCATATTGTCTTTGAACGAAAATTTTCGGGTTGATATCACGTACGTAAATCACAAAAAACGCGGAGCTCGACTTAAACACGTCCGATCACCTTTTATTGATTAAAGGTAAGTATTCACCTGACAATAATGCTACCTGGACAATACCAACAACATGGTATTTCAGCGACCATTTTTTGACATTATCAAACTGGTATCTTTAATTTGAAGTTTTAATTAATAATTTTGCATTCTATTTACTTTCAAAATCTTACGTGAAATAGTCATGACGAATACCACTCGAGAAAAAATTGTGTAGGCAAAATTGTTCTCAAGGTTTTATTCAAGTTTGTTGCTTTTCGGCAATTTTGCTCATGACATTTTTGATAAAATCACTCGCCTGACGGCTCGTGATTTTGTCAAAAATGTCATTCGCGAAATTGCCAAGCAACAAACTTTCATACCTTTCGAAAATTTTGCCGACAAAATTTTTTCTCTTGTGATATTATATATGAAAAATCACTCCAGGAAAAATTTTGAAAAACTAACTTTTTTAAGCAAAATTAAGGAGAATTCACCCTCTTACATTTCAATTTTTTTCTAGAAATCTGGTAAAGGGAAAATTGTGAAGTTTTTCCAGGAAAAAGAGAAAAAGTGAGGAGCTCATTATAGGAAAATTTCAAAAATTTTCAGTGGAAAATCACTCCAAGAAAAATTCTGGGAAATTGACTTTTTCAGGCAAAATTCACCCTCTTACATTTTAATTTTCTTCTGGGAAATTGGTAAAAGGAAAATTGTAAAAATTTTCCAGAAAAAAGAAGAAAGTAAACAGCTCATTATAACAAAATCTTAAAATTTTCCAATGAAAAATCACTCCACAAAAAATTCTGTAAAATTGACTTATTTAAACAAAATTAAGGAAAATTCATCCTCTTACATTTTAATTTTTTTCTAGAAAACTGGCAGAGGGAAAACTTCGAAAATTTTCCAGGAAAAAGAGGAAAGTGAGGAGCTCATTATAGGGAAATTTCGAAATTTTCCAGTAGAGAAATCACTTTAGGGAAAATTCTGGAAAATTGACTTTTTCAAGTAAAATTAAAGAAAATTCATCCTCTCATATTTCAATTTTTTTCTGGAAAACTGGCAAAAGAAGAAGAAAAGGAAAGTCAGGAGCTCATTATTATAAGAAAATTTCAAAATTTTTCAATGGAAAATCGCTCCAGGAAAAATTCTGAAAAAATTAGTTTTTCAAGTAAAATTAAGAAAAACTCATCCTCTCACATTTCAATTTATTTTTGGAAAACTAATAAAGCAAAACTTGTGAAATTTTTCCAGGAGAAAGAAGAGAATGAGAAGCTCATTATAGGAAAATTTCAAAATTTTCTAGTGAAAAATCACTCCAAGGAAAGTCGAAAGGAAAGTTCTGGAAAATTGACTTTTTTAAGCAAAATTCATTCTTTCACATTTCAATTTTTCTCTGGAAAACTGACAAAGCAAAAATTGTGGAATTTCTCCAAAAGATAGAGGACAGTGAGGAACTCAATATAAGAAAATTTCAAAATTTTCTAGTGAAAAATGACTCCAGAAAAAATTCTGGAAAATTGAGTTATTTAAATAAAATTAAGGAAAATTCACCCTTTTACAATTAAATTTTTTTTTGGAAAATTGGCAAAGGAAAAATTGAAAATTTTCTAGGAAAAAGAGAAAAGTGAGGAGCTAATTATAGGGAAATTTCGAAATTTTCCAGTGAAAAATCACTCCAGGAAAAATTCAAAGAAAATTGACTTATTTAGGCAAAATTAAGGAAAATTCACCCCTCAAATTTGGAGCCTAGTTGCGCTTATGGTTGATGTTAAATTAAAGATAATTCATTTCATGTTGCCAGTTTGATTCGAAAGTCACAATGCATTTTTATGAGCAGGAGGGTTTTATTTGAAATTGATGCAACTTTGCATACACACGAATGACGTCATTTGCGATTAAAAAAGTTCATGTCAAATAAGCCGTGCACCAATTTTCAATCGCGAATGACGTCATTTGCATATACCTACGCAAAGTTGCATCAATTTCAAAATTCAAATAAAACCCCCCTCATAGTAAACTTGATTATTTTCTTTTCTTTAAAAACGACTCATCAAAGCAAAAATTTGTGGTCTGAAATCAACATTCTTTAACTAGAACCAAATGACGTCAGATGGGTTTTCCTCAAAGACGGTTTTTACCCATATTTTACCATGAATAAAAGAATCCACAAGAATCGACGCCGTCCCCACCATTTCCTTCTTGGTTCTCGTTTCAGCCCTGCAGCAGCAGAAATCGAAAATAAATTTCAGTCTGTTGAATTGTCGCGTTGCAAGAGAATCTGTATCGTAACAGAAGGGCAACTTTACGCGACTATATACGTAATTTTAGCGGTGGTAAAAAGTAAAGTTTTTCTACACTGGGAATTTTTGACTAAAAAGGTAAGTTTTTTTCTTAAAAAAATATAAGAAAACACTTCTAATTAACGAAATTCCCTAAAATATTTCATATATTTTACTGTTTCAAAGCTAAATTTGAATTTATTATTGAAATTATTAACCAGTTTTTATTTATTAACATTTAAGCAGCATTTAACAAATAAAATGAATGGTAAAAACTATAAAAATCTATATGTTTTTTGTGTATTTTATTTTGTTTTGCATGCAAATGCATGGAATATGTGTACAGATCGTTGGATACAAGGATTGTCGAAAATTTCCATGGCCTACTAGACCTGACATTTGTCAATCTTAACGGTAATTCCCAGTCGATCAATTCATTTGTCAAGTAGGATAAACGTTCAACTTATTAAAAAATAGGTGGGCAACTGGAAACTACTAGTTCTGGAACGGTTATCATGTTGGTTGGAACAAAGCTATTTTCAATCCAGAAATTTCCACCATTTTGATTTTTTTTTTTTTTTTCAATTCGATTTCATAATTCTTTGAAGCCCTCTACCGGGAAAATTATTAACCGTAAACTTGAAAATAATGCCAAAATATCCAAGAAAATCATTCTGGCCTGAAACTTTTGACAATTTTGTGAAAAATTCACGCGTGCATGTGCAGTATCAGTATAAACCCGCTCTTATTTTTGACATTATCGATTATCAGTGACGTATGTCATTTTTGTAGTTTAAATAAATTAATTTGAATTTCAAATGTAGGAATCCATTAATGTTGCATGAGAGGTGCATTAATGCATGACATTTTCACTACATATCCATTGATTTTAATTAAATATTTATTGAATTGAAATGCATTCATTTTAAACATAAAGTTCCTCGTCATTAAAAATAAACGTCAGCTGAATGCATTAAAATTGCATCTTAGTAGGCCATTATAATGCAATTATGTTCCAGAAATGGAGGCAAATCAGTTTAGGGAGTTCGGCAAAGCGATGATTGACTATACGGCGGAATATCTGGAGAATATCAGAGACCGGTAAGTGGATTTTGACTCTAAAGAGTTGAAATTATCTCTAATTTTCTTATAGGCGAGTGTTGCCGACTGTGGAACCGGGTTATTTGAGACCTTTGTTACCGGATCAAGCACCGCAACTTCCCGAAAAATGGGAAGACGTACTTAAAGATGTCGAAAAAATAATCATGCCAGGAGTAAGTATGTTGACGACCTTGCATAACTGATCTTATTTCTTAAGGTGTTTATTTAAATGTTGTATGTTTATTAGACAAGATTGTAATAAGAGCTTTATAATGGCATTGACTATTAAAATTATAATTTATAATTGGTTGATGATTTATGATTAAGAGATTTTGAATTTTTGACAGTTAAACGGTTCTTTCTATATATCAGCCTACTATATTTTAAATAGTTGACATCTTGATAAATATTCCATTACAGTTTCCAATATTACCAACATATGTTTTTTAGTTTATTGTTAAACTATTTGCAGGTAACCCACTGGCACTCGCCCAGATTCCACGCTTATTTTCCAACTGCCAACTCGTATCCCGCCATTGTTGCCGATATTCTTAGCGGTGCGATCGCCTGCATTGGATTCACATGGGTAAGCATTTTTTTTTAAAACTTGGCAACAGCGTGTTTTTAATTTTATCTGTATTTTTGAATTTGACTCATTTCCTATTATTATTCTTTAAGAGCGTGCGCAAAACTCCAACTTTTCAAATCCATTTTAGTTCATATGAAAGTAGGTATTACTTTTCCACACTACAGTAGGTACCGCATTTTTTATAATAATAATAACTTTCCTATCCTCGTACGGAAAGTGTCTTTTCCCTACCAACTGCAATCGCGTGCGGAAAATTGGCATTTTGCGCACTAAAACATACTTCAAATAAAGATCCATATCCCTTTTGGGTTTCATGTTTTTCCTCATAGATGGCAGTCGTATCGGTTCTGCTGTCAGAGGCATAATTGACATTTTTCAAATTTTTAGTGCAAAACAAGTGGTTTTTGTATAATTTTTCATAGAAAATAACTTCACGTTTCAAAAACAATCAAAGTAGGCTTTTTGGGCGACTATTTCAAAGTTAGGCAATCCAATCTCTATGGCGGCCATGGTCAAACAATGAAGGATTTCGTTTTTGTTATCATTAAAATGGTCTATTGCTTGAAAAGGATAATTTTTGTAGTTTCGTAGTGTATAAACACAAAAGAAAAACACATTGCAGATGTTTGACCGTTACCGCCATATTAAATTTGTGTTTTGACAAGTCGTTGGATTGTCCTATTGCATCTTGGTAGTTTTATACGAAAAATAACGTCTTTCTGTGGTGCAAGGAATTGAATTTTTGGTAATTTTTGAAGAAAATCTGATTTTTCATCAAGAAAAATGAAAATTTTCCGTTAGTTAACTTCACGTTTCGAAAACATCAAAGTAGGATTTGGACGGCCATTTCAAAATGAAACTATCCAACCAAGGGTAATACACACTACTACTACAGGTTAGCATATCCTTATAAGACTGTGTGAGACAAATTTAAAGTCCTAGACCACGCCAAATCACCAGTTGTGACGTAGACAGCATGTCCTTTTTCGCCTGTTTGCACGACAGGTTATGATTCCGCAGACTTTTGCTTTATGCATACTTAGTTTTACTACATTCTAAAACAACTATTTTTTGGATCTCATTTACATCTTCCTCTTTGCTTATTATGTCAATCAAAATAAAATAATATTTTTCATCATAAATTTAAATTATAAACTACGACCTCTAGTGCAAACGCTGACCACTCGTTAATGACGTTGAAAATGATGACACACCAATATGGCGACGATTATCAAAAACGAGACCGATAAGCCAAGGTTGTTTGAGAGAAATAAGTTGCCTGATAACTTTATGACGTCATCTGGGGTGCCTCAACATAATGCAAATTTGCATAAGGCACCCCAGATGCGTCATCAAGTTACCCATTACCAGGCAACCTCCTTGCAATAAGCAATCCTTTAGTAATGTGTATTATCCTTGCAATCCAACGACCTGTCAAAACATAAATTCAATATGGCGGTAACGGTCAAACATCTGTGATATGTGTTTGTTTTTTGGTTTATACACTACGAAAATAGGTAAATTATCCTTTTCGAGCAATAGAAAATCCCCTCAAAAAACCACAAATTACACACAAAGCACACATCGCAGATGTTTTACCATTGCCGCCATATTGAATTGATGTTTTGACAGGTCGGTGAATTGCCCTATTGCGTTTTGTTAGTTTTATACGAAAAAGAACGTTTATTAGGGTGCAATAGGTGCAAAGTATTGAATTTTTAAGGAAAATTTAATTTTTCATCAACTAAAATGAAAATTATTCATTAGCTAACTTCACGTTTCAAAAACATCAAAGCCGGCCTTGGGCGGCCATTTAAAAATTGTGTTTTTTGACCGTTGTTGGTTTTTCTCGAAATTTTCCGATTTTCAATAGATTTCAGTGCAGAAAATGTTTCTTATGTCATGAGGAATTGGATTTTCCATAACGGCAATATTCAAATGAAATACCATTTTTCATGGGAAATAATCCTATGGTATAGGTTTTTCATGTTATATTTAGGATGACGTCATCGGACAAGGACAGACAATGTTGTCAATGTCTATTTTTTTCTCCTGTAATTTACCAGAATTTCATGTGTCAATAATTCTGACAACAGCTAGAAATAACGAAATGAAAATGTTTATACTAAGTCATGCAACGTCGCACGCCGTTGCAAAGCAAAAACATCTAAAAGTTCCCTATTTTAAATGCGTTAAAAAGTACTTTTAGTTTTGTTAGGTTGGCAGCAGAAATTTACTGAATGTGACGTCATTCTAAATATAGCCTAAGTGGAAACTGTCATATTAGCTACAGCTATTTTTGAAATCCTATATGTTCGTATTGAAAATTGGCAAGAATATAGCGGCGGAGTCCTGGACTCACTTCTATATTCACCAATGAAATATTTAACATAGGGAAAAATATGGCGACAGGACCTCCATTGTCGTCACTGTAAAGGTATATTGAGTCCCTGTGATATCAGCTAACTTCACCTTTCGAAATAAACATCAAAGTAGGCCGTGGATGGCCATTTGAACAACAAAAATGGCCGTAGTAGGCAGTAGGTTTTTCTCGAATATTTCTCCTCCATGGTAAGTAAGTCAAATTTTTCCAAATCAATTTTTGTCTATTCCAGGCTCTCGAATTAATTGTCTCAATAAAGAAAATTCAAGAGCCTGGAATAGAAAAAATATGAATATTCACATTTTTCCATCTCAATTTTTGTTTAATTCATTCTACAATCGTGCTTTCTCTTTCTCACTCATTCAAATTGAGTTCGGGCCAATATAAGGACTCCGACTCCGGCCCTGTGCTTTCATCCTGTGAGAACAATATGATTTATCGATTCGGAATTCAACAAGTGCCCTTAACTTTCCATTAATTCCCACCCCTCCCGCTCTCGACTCGCTCCATTATCCTGTCGTTCCCAAGAGGATAAAATGAAAAGCTTGTTCCCGCAGATTTCCACGCTACATTTCCGTTTTTCAAAGGATTTCACTGGAGCAATTTATTCCTGAAAAGGAAGTCAATTATAATTGTTAAATCTCATAAAAGTGACTTTCGTGAAATTGAATTGGATTTAATTAAAAATTGACCGTTAAGAACCATGATTATTCATCAACTGTCAAATTTGAATTTCCACTGTTGCCAACCCCCCCTGGGCGCTGGGTTTACTGTACCTATTCCAAAACCCTGGTTTCCTGCAGTAGGCGAAGTAGGTCTGTTGCATGTTTGCCGTATGTGTCTGGATCTAAATCATCTTCTGATGTGATGATGAGATCTTCAAAATAAATTTCAACCCCTTCGATATCTCCAAATAGCTCATAATTTAAATTTTGAAATACCTCAGGAGCTGAGCTTATGCCAAATGGCATGCGACAAAATTTATATTTCCCAAATGGAGTTGCAAATGCACAATAATCTGATGATTGTTTATCTAACATGACCTGAAAATATTCGTCCTTCATGTCCAATACAGCGTAAAGTATTTTCTGAATTTAGAACTACCATAAGATATTAGTGGTTTTTGATTGCTTTCTCGTTTTAAGAGACTTGAAAAAATATACAGGAATAATGCTAACTTCAGCACCTGTATCCAACTTAAACTCTAACACAGTACCTATCTTCCACACATACCTTGGATTTTCATAATTCCTCTACTGAGCCCACATTCTTTGTTATGGAGCTTACGAAGAACTCACTATTTCCTGAGATGTCACTATCGTCATCACTGTCATCCCTGATTCTTTTTTCACCTTATACACTTTTTTCTTGGCTTTTTCTTTATCTCATCCTTTTTCATACAAATTGCAGGAAAATGATGCTTGGCTCCACACCCATCACATATCTTCCCATAAGCTGGGCAACGTCATTTTTCGCTATGAGTCTACTTTTAGGTTTTCCATGTGACCTGACAGCATTTACACCTGCAGCTTCTTTCTTCAAAACGTTCGCCTGAACTTTGCTAATTTCAATACTCCTATAAAATGTTATAGCTTTTTCAATGGTCAAACCGGATTCTCTCAATAGCGGTTCCTGAGTTCTTTTGTCACAAATGCCAATCACAATGCGATCCCTAACCATTTCATCTTGATTTGTGGTCTCAGAGTCCTTATTCTTGAAACAAGGGAGCAGCGTTCCAGTTGTCTTTACGCCTCTCCTTAACTCTATCAAAAAATTGTCAAAAGTTTGACCCATAGGTTTGACCTTCCTTTTGTATCACAAAGTTTTTGAATCTCTCTAGCACAAGCACTTTCGCGGGAAACTCATGACGTCATATTGAACGTAGTTCGCCGGAAGCATGGACGCAACTTCTAGTCAGCTTTCAAACAAACTCATGACGTCACGAACGAACTATGGGGGATTCCAAGGTGCACAATTGTGCATATTATGCACAATCTGATCTCAATATCAATCTTCATAAAATATGCACAATTTTTACAATCCAGCCAAAACAAAATAATTTTCCTTCAACAAACCTTTGGCAATCTCGCCTTGCGAGTTGGTGGTGACTTGGTGACATCTGTTATTTTGAAAGCTAAACTCTAGACTTGTAACTGGGAAAAGAGAGCCAAATGAGCCACATAATGGCGGCTTACTGCTTAGGTACTTCCCTTGGCATCACAGTTGGTGGAAAGAGTTCTGTTCCATAAGGCATGAGAACCGTTCTAGAACGGTAATTTTCAGTAGATCAATTCATTTGTCGATTAGGATAAACGTTAACTTATTGAAAAATAGGTGGGCAACTGGATATTACTGGTTCTGGAACGGTTCTCGTGTCTGTTGGAACAGAGCTATGTTTATCGCGAGTCACTGTAATTTTTATTTTATTTCGTCGACATTTATCTTCCTGTAAAACACGTCAATTAAAAATGCCCGACTCTCAACCTCGTGAAGTTGGTCACAAATGGTGTTACCACATCAAAACTTTCATAAAAAGAATTTCAAATGGGATTTTGCTAATTATGGCATTTAAAACAGGAAATTTTTGCTAGAAAATTGAGAAAACTCAAAGCCT